AAAACAAAAACATAAAAAAAACAAAAACATCTTGTTAACGTATGCACCCTAATGTATGAATTGAAGAACCACTCCTATTCGAATCCACAGCCTTTACTTGTCTCTCCGGGAAAAAGCCAAAATTTATCCCGTTACTCAAAAAATAAATTAGAGAGGCACAATTTAATATCAGATTTGTCCACTTATTTCAGGAGCTAATCAAAAATGGTCCACGTTTCATCATGGTTTATGAGTATTTCACAGCTCAGCACTTAATGGTTTGTTGAGGACTCAAAACCCGACCCGGCAAAAACCAGATCCCTTAAATAGTGAAATACCAATTCTGCCCCTCAGGAACGTTATGTTTCCCACGTCACCGACTAAACCGGTCACTAGTTTTTCGCCAAACCCAATAAAAATCGCCGAGTACAGCATCACGACAGTTCGACCGAATTTTCTTTCATTTTCTTACTGGTCTTTCTCTTCTTCCTTGTCTGACTCTGTAGAATTTTCTCTGCAGACAAACAACACGGACGAAGAGAAAGAAACGAACCGTAAACCCTAGACAAAGATACACCCTGAGCTCGTAGCCGTGTCGTATCATCTCATCAGATGGAGTCTCTTTCGCGTCCTCTCCACAGAAGAAAGCTATCCAATGCGAATAGCTTCTCATTCTCTGCTAAAAACGCGTACGACGGCGTTTTTGGATGTCCGCCGAAGCTCGGAGCTCCAAATAACAAGCCTCGCGTCCAGGAGTATAGTGAGATTTTTGGTGGCTCACGTGGTTCTTCGATTCCGATTCTTGAGGTTCCGGCTCTGGATGAAGCTAATGTTTCGGCCGATTTTCGGAGGTCGAAAGTCGATTACTCGAAAGTTTTCTGTGATTTTAGAAATGAAGATGTTTCTGTGTCTTACGACGAATTGTTTGGTGGAGCGAAGAGAGACAAAAGTTCATCTGGTAAATCACGGTTAGTTCTCTCTTTGTATATGAGTTTCGTAATTTTTTTTATTTTTTAATTGAAATTGATAAACACATTGAGGATTTGACTATGAATGTGATCATATATTGTCTCTTTTTGTTGTTGTTGTTGTCTGGTTAGGTAGACAGTGAAAATTTATCTAACTTGCATTGTTTTCTTGTTGAGAAACTGTTGCGGAAGAATTTGGAAAAAAAATAATGATTTTTTATTTAACTTCTATGAATCCTAATTTCTTTCTCGTGGTATTTAATTTCCTCTTTATGTGTATGGGTTTTTTGTTGTATTAGTTTTCCCAATATATAGTTCGTTCTTATCTGGCATTTGTTATTTGTGACTGAATACTTACTTCTTTAGTCATCTTGAGGATTGGTGTCGCAGGAGCAAATAAAAGCTGCATTTTGAGGGACGAAATTTTGACTTTGTAAAATCAATATCATTGTTCTCCAGTGTCTGTTACTGGAAATATGTTCCTCACGAGCATTATCAGGATTAAATCTGGTAAGGAATTTTAATAGGTTGTCAAGGTGGTTATATTAGGAAAGATTTGTAATGGGAGGGTTAGTTTAATGGGAAGTTGAAGGTAGATTCTGTTCTGATGCAATAGTTAATACAACTATGAAAAATGCAGTTTTGTCGCCATAGCATTTTTCTTGCGGGCATTGCTGAACTTAATTCGATGAATAAAGTGATGGTTTGTCGTGGTCCACATAAGAAAACATATTTCTTTTGTTCTGTTCTTGAATTTGGAAGCCTTGTAATGGCTGCTGGAATTGTGTTCAGTAAGTTACACATGCCATTCTTATCGCGCCCTATTTTGTCGTATATCATTTAAAATTTTGTGAGGTTAAAAAATACTTCATATCCTCATTTTGAGTCTATATATGCTTTCTTCACTAACTTGCATTGTTTTCTTTGCTTTGAGTCGTATTTTCCTTAATTAAGTTTCACAATTTCAGCATGCTTCTTTGTTAGTGTAGTTTGGTTTAAAAACTTATCTTTTAATGTTTGATGCCAATATGTTGTATTTACTTTATTTAGTATCTTTAGCTTGCCCGTCATTCTAATTTTGTGCCCTTTTTATGAAGTTCTCCTCATTATCTTTTGTCATCTGTATATCTCAGATTTCAGTTTGATTTAAAGAAGTGAAAAATTGCTCTTAGCTTTTTCCTTTATATCTGTTTGTTATTGTGTGCAGATCTCCACCTGAAACAGGATCTCCCTTGCAAGGATCAGATCGTTTCAATAGTTCTGAAAAGAGTCGAGGACTCTCATCTGAATCATCTGAACAAACTTTTAATGGCGTCAAGTTATTTAACATGGCTTACCATAAGACCAGCCAAAGAAGCAAAGATGGGACGAATGGCACAACACACATAGCTCAACTCCATGCTATTCCTGGATTTACTCGTTTTATGGAGGAAATCAATCCTCTGCAGAAGGCAGAAGGTGATAAGCCAGTTCCCTCAGTTAAAAGTGAGGTTCGTCGCAACAAGACTTTCAGTGAGGGAGTATCCGAAGAAAAACATGGCAGGAAGACCACGGCAGATCTCCCTAGCAAACAAACTTCCAAAGGCTTGGAAAAGGCTAAAGGTGGATTTAGTTCGGATGGATCCTATTCAAATGATAAGTTATTAAATGCACATCAAATCAACCTCAAATCACATCCTTCTAAAGAGCTGCCCGCTTCAAGTCCTCCGTGCAATCCAAGAGATCAGTCTAAAGTGTTACATGATAACAAGGGCTATGTTAAGAGATCAATGACTTCCAGTTTCGTTCCCAGGAGTGATGCTTCTGAAGGTACTTCTGGTGATTGTTCACCACCTTTCTTTGATGAGGAAGTTGATGAGAACTCAGTTGCTGCTGCCTCTGCAGCTGCTTTGAAAAAGGCCATAGAGAAAGCTCAAGAAAGTATAAGAATTGCAAAAGAATTGATGGAAAGGAAAAAGGGAGGTCTTCAAACTTGTTCAAAGCCCAGTTCTAAGGGTAGCTTGAAAGTTAAGGATAAAAGAGAGACTAGACTTCCTCATGAATCAAACAGAATTAAAGAGAAGAATGCTGAGGAACCATGTGAAAGAGTGGCAGCTGTATCGCAAGTTTTTGCTGGCATGGAAAAGAAAATTGCATCTAAGGCTGATATATTTGCTCCAGATTTCAAAGACATTGAAAAACTTCTTATTGCTAGAAAGGTTGCAGAAGATGAGCATGAGGAAAATCCAGAATCAGCTGAAGAATGTGAAGCGGCACCATGGTTTTCTGAACTGGTAGGGAGGCCAAGAGCACCAACTGTGGCATTTGAGTTGGCAGATAGCATAAAACATGAACATGAAGAAAATAAAAAATCCAAAACTGCCCAAGAGGATAAAGAAACTTGGGGGAAGCAAAAAGATATCAGTGAACAAAAAGAATGTGAGGAGAAATGGAATGAGTCTCAGAACACTCTAAATGATGTTAAATTTGAGTCCCAAGAGCAGATGCAGAACAATTATGATAAAGGACTAAATAGAACCCACGAGCTGATGGAAAAAGAAAAGACATGGCAAGAGGCTCCTGAGCAAGAACAAATTGAGATGATAATAGAAATTGTCCATGAGAATGAAGACTATGAAAGCGTACACAGAAAGATTTGTGATGAAGAAGAAATTGAGAAGAGACCTAACGAGGTTTGTCAATGCGTGGAACATGAAAATATGCTGGAAGAGCATTGTGATGGTCAAAGCAATGACATAAAACAAAAAGAGGCCCAAAAGGCAGAACACACTAAGAAGACGTTGGACAAGATTCATCAGCTAATTGATGGGAAGAGACCAACCGATTCTCATGGTGGGGAAGAAAGTGAGAAGATACCAGAAGAAGAGTATGAGTCGGAAAGAAGTGACACAAGACCAACCGAAGGTTCCAGATATGTAGAAACAGGGGCCCAAAGGGCAGAAGACACTGAGAAGAGGTTGGACGAAGTTCATCAGATAAAAATTGATGAGAGGAGACCAACCAATTTTCATGGCGGGGAAGAAAGTGAGAAGATACCAGAAGAAGAGTATGAGTCGGAAAGAAGTTACACAAGACCAACCGAAGGTTCCAGATATGTAGAAACAGGGGCCCAAAAGGCAGAAGACACTGAGAAGAGGTTGGACGAGGTTCATCAGATGAAAATTGATGAGAAGAGACAAACCGATTCTCATGGTGGGGGAGAAAGTGAGAAGATACCAGAAGAGGAGTATGAGTGGGAAATAAATGACACAAGACCTACCGTGGGCTACAGATATGGGGAAGAAAGTGAGAAGATACCAGAAGAGGAGTATGATGACACAAGACCTACGGTGGGCTACAGATATGCAGAAATGGGGACCCAAAAGGAAGAAGACACTGAGAAGAAGTTGGACGATGTTCATCAGCTGAAAATTCATGAGAAGAGTCCCACTGATTCTCATGGTGGGGAAGAAAGTGAGAAGATACCCGGAGAGGAGTATGAGTGGGAAAGAAATGACACAAGACCTATTGGGGGTTACAGATATGTAGAAATAGAGAGTACTCTGAAAGAGAGTGATCAGAGGAAGGAAAAAGAAAAGGTAGAAATGACTCGGAACACTGAATGCGAATTGGATTTTGATTCTTTTTGTGATGCAGGTATGCATGATGCAAGTAAAGACACATGTGAGGGTAAACAAGCTTGCACGGATGAAGTACATTATAAAAATATGGAAGCAAGAGAAGAGGTAATTGCACGTAAAGGAAATGGGACGATACTGGGAGTTACTGAAACGTTTTGTGAGTTCAAAGATGTTGAAAAGGAGGCAGAAGCAGTTAAAGTGGCATGCAAACTGAAGGAAAAAGAGGTGTTTGAAAAAGCTGGATTGTCTCAAAGTGCTACTGAAGGAACTGAGATCAAGAACAATATGAGAGATGCCTCTGAGGCCCTTCCTTCTGATGACAATTCACCTGAGAAGGCAGAAGTGACTCAGAATGTAGTTTACGGAAGGAATTTTGATACGGTTTATGATGCTGGTAACCGTGATGCAAGTAACAACATAAGTGAGAGTCAAGAAGCTTGCAAAGATAAAGTGCATGATAACAATGTGGAAACAATAGAAGAAGTAATTGCACATGTAGAGAATGACAAGATACTGGGAGTTACTGAAGCTTTTTGTGAGTTCAAAGGGGTTGAAAAGGAGACAGAAACAGCTAAAGTAGCATATAAGCAGGAGAAAAAGAAGGTGATTGAACCAGCTGGCTTAGTTCAAAGTGCTGCTGAAGAGAATGAGATCAAGAGCAATATGGTAGATGCTTCTGTGGCCCTTCCTTCTGATGACAATCCATCAAATTTTGGTTTAAATGACATGAACTTTGGACCAAAACGAATTGAGAAAAATGACAAAGAATTTCAATCAGCCTCTGAACATGATAATAGGACTGAGACATTGGTTCATGAATCTGGAGGAAACACAGAAAATGTCAAGGAGAATGAACTAGCCTGTGATCAGGAAGTACAAGAAAATAATTGTGAAACAGCTCATGAGGAAAGAGAATGGGTGCCAAATAAGGAGAAATTGGTAGAATCTCAACTGCCTGGTGTAGCTGAAGGGAAAGAGAAAACAATGGAAATTCGCGAAGAGATCAAAATAAGCAGAAATATGGAAAAAGAGGAGAATTTTGATGAACCTTTTGCAATGAAAGAGAAGGAAACCAAGGAAACTGAGCAAAAAGAAGTGGAGGAAAAAGAATACCTTAGGACAACTGCTGAAACAAACAACAGGGAAAGAGCAGAAAGGGATAAGACAATGAGAAGACACTGGGAGAAAGATAGAATAGCCGTTGAAAGAGCCATTCGCGGAGCTCAACTACCTAGTGTATCTGAAAGCAAGGAGAAAACCATGGAAATTGATGAAGAGATCAAAACAAGCCAGAATTCAGAAAAGGAGGAGGAGAGTAGTAATAACTCCTTCATAATGGAAAAGAAGGAAAGTAAGGAAACTGTGCAAAATGAAGTGGATGCAAAAGAACAGGTTGGGGAAGCTGATGAAGCAAACAAGAGGGAAAGGGCAGAAATGGAGAAGACACAGAGAAGACACTGGGACAAGGATAGAGTGGCTGTTGAAAGAGCCATTCGCGAAGCTCGTGAAAGGGCATTCACTGAAGCTCGAGAAAGGGCAGAAAGGGCTGCTGTGGAGAGAGCAACTGCTGAAGTTCGACAGAGAATAATGGCTGAGCCTCGAGAAAAGATTGAGAAGCCTTCTACAGCTACTAAATCATCAGCTGACAAAACTTCCACAGAAGCCAAGCTTAGAGCCGAGCGTGCTGCAGTAGAAAGGGCTACTGCAGAGGCTCGGGAACGCGCTCTAGAAAAAGCAATGTCCCAAAAGGCTACCTCTGAGGCAAGAGCACAATCAGAAAGACTTGTCACTGAGAAGTTTTCTGGTGCTTCCAGAGATAGCGGAATGAGGCAGAGCTCTTCATCCGCTGTGAGTATCGCTACAGTATGTTAATGTTTTTTTCACTGTTTCATGTTGCAAGAAGGAATACCCTTCAGGTGCAAGCCAGATGACTGGTAGATACAATTTCCTGCAGGATTCACTGAGATTTGATGGAACTAATAATGAATCAGCTCAAAGGCGGAAAGCAAGGTTAGAGAGGCACCACAGGATAATGGAGCGTGCGGTATACATTTCCCCCCTATTTTTGTTTTGGACACTAGTTCGTGAACCTTTTTACCAAAGATTGTTCATAATTTTTCTCTGTTGTCTTTCAGGCAACAGCTTTAGCAGAGAAGAATATGCGTGATGTTCTTGCTCAGAGAGAGCAAGCTGAAAGAAATGTAATTACCTCTTTCTATTGGGCTAGGAGATTTCAAAAGTGCTGATATTGCATGCTCATTAATCTCACGGGGTCTCCAATTTCAATTGCAGAGACTAGCAGAAGCACTTGATGCTGATGTAAAGAGATGGTCTAATGGGAAGGAAGGGAACTTGCGCGCATTGCTTTCAACATTGCAATATGTATGTACAATCATTGCGAGTTTTTATCTCTGCACTCTGCAAAATGTTTATTTCTTTGAACTAATCGCAAATTCAACATTTGGGCAGAGATATTGTGTGGACCGGAAATTTTACCAAATCCATCCATCTCTCCAGTTGGGGATGACACTATCCATATTCTTTTGCCTTGCTCCATCTCATCTAAAATTTTCAGCATTGAATCTTTCTTATTGAGGTGGATTAAATAAAGCACTGCTTGCTGCTGGTGTTAACCGTGTATCCTTTATTTGCAGATTCTTGGGCCTGATAGCGGTTGGCAACCAATCTCCCTAACAGATCTTATAACAACTATTGCCGTGAAGAAAGCTTACAGGAAGGCAACTCTTTATGTTCATCCTGACAAGTTGCAGCAAAGGGGTGCAAGCATTCAGCAAAAGTATACATGTGAGAAGGTTTTCGATCTTTTAAAGGTGTGTGGTCAAACTCCTTTCCTTAAAATATTAACTGTTGACCAAAGTTTTAGAATTCCCTATGCATAAATGAGGTGAGTAAAAGGAACATCCACAAGCATTGTATGAAGTATATACTTTCATCGTTTCAGTGACGAGAATTATGGAATCAACCTCTCACTTTCTAAAATGCTAAGCTTGATCCCAGTATCGACTAATGTGAAAATACCACTGTACAGTGTTTTTTTTTCCTCCCTTCTCCTTGTTACGTATGACGTTACCATCCTATATGCCATGACTGGAAATGCAGACCAAACATGTAGCTCCCTTTTCAGCCATCTAAATCAATTGTAATCCACAAATTGCTGCAGCCTGTAAAATTGTTCTATTTTTTTTTTTTTTAAAAAGGAATCCTTACTAATGCAATCTGCTGAACTTCTACAAACTAAACTACCACAAGCCACTCTGTTTAAACTTGACGGAGGCAACTCGTCTTCCCAGTGCAGGACTAGAACTTACCCTGCAAAATGGGGCAACACCCACCTTTTTTACACCTGCCATTTGTGACTTGTCTGTAATACGACCTTTTATTCGAATCTCACATGTTCTTCTGTTCTATTGTCCACAGGCGGCTTGGAACAGATTCAACTTTGAAGAGAGGTAAAAAGGAGGAAAGGTGCACAAGCTGTATCTTGTATTCTTCACATTTATTCCATGTAGTTGCTGTAGTTAGGTTAGTGTAATCAGATCCTGTAGATACACTGAGCAAACTGCAAACTTAATTCTAGTCATTTGATACATTTTCTGAAAGCAGGATGTAATTCCATTGATGGGCTGGTGCCCTCCATTAGAGGTCACTATTTTGAACGTTTACTGGGGAGGGAGCAGTGAGGTTCAAATCCGCAACTTAACAGTCAAACAACAGGCTGCAGTGGCAATTAAGCCATCCACTCATTTAGAGGAGGGCAAAAATGAAAGACAGTTCTCTTTTAGTTCCATTAATTTAATGGAAAACAAACATGTAGGATACCGCCTACATTGCTAGAGATCTAGAAATGCCAAAGATGAAAAAATATAAATGTAAAGAAAAACGTTGAAAGAGGCTGATTTTGAAATGGAGCCACTCGGGAAGACAATAGAGTTTGGAGCTTCAATAACACCGTGAGTGACCTCCACACCTCGTTCTGCCGGTAAGCAATGCATAAAATAGGCTTTTCGTCCTGCTAACATCATAAGTTCTTCGTCCACCTGCAATTAATGTACATGCAAAGGTTGTCATATAGACTTCAGAAATTTATGAAACAAGAATTATGGAGTGCTACCAATGCTAAAAGTTGAGCCGCATGGAATTAAACCTCAGGAGTCAGGTGGGCCCTTAAAGAAAGAAAAATTGAGACCAACAATATATGAAACTAAACATGTAATTAAAAAAACTAAACTAGAGTTTAAGTAATGGGTAATAATATTCGAAGGCTGCACGGTAATGTGTTGATGACTTATCTAGGTATAGTCCTAAAATCAAGGTGGGCACCATAAAATATTTTATATGTCTAAATATATATAAAGATATAATTTTTTAAAAATATTTGAGGTTAGGGCAAGTGACCACCCTGGGCCAAGGGTGGCTCCGTCCATGAGTTGAGGAACCAATGTCGTGGAGGGCTCTGTCGGACAGGTTTTTTTTTGTATATAGCTTCATTTAAAAATAAACAATATTTTTTGTAATTTAATGGTCTAACCTTTTTTTAAACGAAGGGCAAGCAAAGTGTGTGGGTGGTTTGACGGGCTGGGTTGGGAGGGTAGGTGTTTGGGCTGAGTTTTAATGGGCTTTGTGGGCAGGCCATTGGGCCAAGTTTTCGGCCGAGTAATAAATTTGAAGGCAAACTCAAATCCTCCCTTGAAAGATATTGGATTTGATCAGGTTAACTATCAAACTTATTTTTTTTGGGTCAAGTAACGAGACCCGTGGGTAACTAGACCCATGAACACCCCTACCCAAAGGGAAAAATTGGTCATGACGCTTTACGATGATCTACAAAAACTGCAAACGATAACTCGTTCCATTACTCACAACAGAACTTTCTACATCATCTTATTTGCCTAGGAACAGACATAAAATGATAATATGAAGGTATACAAGTGGACATAAGGTCATGTTTAGTAGCTGTCTACATGCCAGTGCCACTTCAAAGACATCAAATTACGAAAACATGCTTGCAATTGTTTTTCCAAAGCCTCAAGTCTTAATTGTTATCAAGTTTTATCTTTGGATTAACAGCATTTTTATCCATAAATTATGTATATTTTTGTCAATTTAGTTTTTATTGTATCAATTTTGTCAGTTTGGTCCTTAAAGTATTCAATTTGCGTTAATTTAGTCTCTAAATAGACGGACCGTTAAGTTTTTTGATGAAAATGACCACGTGCCATTTTTTTAGATCATTCTATTAAAAAACTTAACAGTCTGTCTATGTAGGAACCAAATTGACACGAATTAAATATTTTAGAGACCAAATTGACAAAATTAATATAATAAGAACTAAATTGATAAAAAAATGCATACTTTTAAGTATCAAAAATTGCTATAAACCCTTAATCTTTTTTATTTCTTTCACTTTACTTTGAGGTTGTATTAAAAATAGCACAAGAAATTCATACAAGGGGTGTTTTGTACGTGTGGGAGAGAGAGAGAGAGAGTGACTATCACCCAAATACTTATCAACCTAACGATCGATGATCTGGATACATCGATCCCAAATAGAGTGGGTTCGCAATCTAGATCACCAAATTGTGATACTAACTCTAAATCGATTTGTTTTTAAACATATAGCACAAATATAAACTACATATTAATTGACTATGCGTATATAAATATATAACTATATATTATTTTAGATAATATAAAATCGAGCACAAATATAACATAAAATGGTGATTGATTTAGTGCTTGGATATTCTATGATATATAATATTGTATAGTAGTAAAAACGATTTAGAGAAAAGTTCAAAACAAATTGTGACTCAAAACATTGTACCACTACCCCACGAACCATTTACGTAAACAAGTGTCGTACAATGTCGTATTATATACCAAAACGATCCACGATCCAAGTAATATTGACTTAAAACTACACTCAAAAGATGAATCCATAATCACATTCTTCTGACAATTGCCAAATATCTTCCTGCCCTCTGTACTTCCACAAGGATACCATTTAAAGCACAACCAAATAGTAGTTTAATGCTCAGCTAACAAAATGCCACAAAAGCAAGAGTTTAGTCAGTAAGAAAAGAGATTGTGTTCACTGTGTACCTGAAATCCTTGAAACACTTGATGTCGATATGCAGCCTCTTCCTTTTGCCCCATGCTAGCCCGACATCTGAGTACACGACATCAGCTCTTCTAACAGCTTCTTTTGGATCATCAGTTATCTCAATTTTGCTGACCCCAGCCTGTTGCAACTTCTGAACTGTCTTCTCATTAGGTTCAATACCTTTAGGGCAGGCACATACAAAATGGAAAGGATAACTGCTGCCATCAGTAGCCAAGAGTGCACAATGTTGTTTCCATCTCCAACATAGACAACCTGCAATTTATATTGTCATCAAATGACATTAGAGAAGAATTCTAACCACTACAGTTTTAATCAACGACGGCAAGAGATAAACAGAGATCATATTAATTGTCTAGGTAGAAATGGGTTAACCTTAGTTCCTTCCAACTGACCAATGTGTTCTATTATTGTGAGAACATCAGCCATTATTTGACGAGGATGGTTATAGTCTGTCAAGCCATTGTTCACAGGTACAGTAGCAAATGTAGCCATATCCAGGATGTCCTGCAAAACAAAAATTAAGTAATATACAGAACTACATTCCTCAAAGGCAAAGAGATATTGACGCTTGGAAAAATGAAACAGCTCGGCAAACTTTTAGTTGTTTCAATGGTAGAAATTCATTATTCAAAGAGTATAAGAATGAGGTGTTCCCCTTAGGACGTGGGGTTCTCTTTTCTTTTCCTTTTTTTTGTAGATCCCACAGGAGTGTCAAACTACGATGATTACACCTAAGGGTGTTGCAGGAACAGTTATCAAAAGTAGAACAATTACAAGAACTGGCTCAACTTTGAACACGTGTGCATCAGAAATCCCCTAGATAACACACATTCTATGATCGCAGAGCTTTTTGCCTTTTTAAACTACTTAAATTTCAGACACAAATAACATTTTCTACTTTATACGACCTCCGATTGAAACCTCAACCTCATGGTTATTACAACGATATTTTTAGTACTGCACCAAGAAATAGATCATTCTGTTTCTTCTTCAAGTTTCTATTCCATTGGTTGAAATAATAGAAGCACCAAAGATTACTTAAACTAAGTATTAGACATCGACGACAAGTTGTAGGGCTTTATTACCTGATAGAGTGTAACCAAACTTGTTAAAAGTTATTAAAGACATATGTGAGTTCTAAAACCAACCTGTGGTGTTTTTAGGAGCAGAGGAAGAGTAAGGGAGAGAATCCAAGTAGATATATGAATGCATAACCCTTACAATCGACAGAAAACTCACCAGCATCCCTGATGAGCAAAGACTCGAGCCATAATGATATCATTGTAGCGAGCCAGCACATGGGCAACATCATGAGTTTCCTCTCGCTTACCCATCTGGATATCATCTGGTCCCAAGTACAAAACATGGCCACCAAGCAAGTAAAACCCAGTCTCAAATGACACCCATGTCCTCATGGACGGCTTGGCAACAATCATTGCCATTGTTTTCCCTTTAAATGGGAGATAAGTCCTCTCTCCTGATTTTAGCAGTGCCTTGACCTCCCTGGCTCGGTCTAAAATCTTCAAAATAGTGGCTTTGTCGAAATCACTAATGTGTAGGAAATCATTCAGTCCTGCCTTTTCTGGTAAAAAATCAGCAAGTATAGAAATCACATATTCAGAACTATCCGTTGCCTAAATTAACATTTTCAGCAAAATGTGTTTCTATCAGAAATTATTATGTCCCATCATCTCTTTTTAAAAGTGAGGTTTGGTGACGAGTTCAGAATCATATTTTAGCAATTTGCAGTAACAAGAAGCATCTACCAACTTGAAACAATATTCTGCAGATTAATGAGGGATCATTCTTGGCTTTCAAATAAGCACAAATGTGCTACAAATATGTCTTGCAGCATTTTAAATTTCGAAAAGTAAAATGCAACATATAATTATAAAAGGCTTCCACTTGCATCAAAGTAAGGAAAATTTTGTTTTAGATTTCAAAACAGGTTCTTAATTAACCCCTAAAGTTCCTAGACCTTCATCCCACATTTCTCAACATAGGCAAGTAGACAAGGACTTCCACTCAACAACTTTGTAGAATACGATTTAAAATGGACGAGTTTACATCAAAAGGCAATGGAAGCAATAATCTAATAGCTGACGGCAATCTTAAAGCATCAGCCTATAAATACATCAAAATGATAAAAAATGAGGAACTCGTACAAAACATCAGCAAATAGCAGTATAGCGGCCTACAAAATCCAAATAGGCGGGTGTGTGTGTGTGTGTGTGTGTGAGAGAGAGAGAGAGAGAGAGAGAGAGAGAGAGAGCATAATAACGTGATCTCTTCAGAATAGAACCGCCAAAAAGACTAGAAAATATTATATTGAAAAATTCAAATGAAGTAAGAAAGCGAAACGAACTCAATTAAAATGTCCATATGACTGACGTTGTCAAATTCACAATTTCCATCTTCTGAAAGTATACAATTGTTTGTCCAACTTACAGCCAATTCAGTGATTTTTCAAGAAAAAAAAGGCCAATTCAGTGATCAAAAGCGCTAAACCTTAATTTTCACCACAATTAAAATTTCAATGAAGTCAAATTAATATCACGTCATTTAAAGTAATGCCGCAACTTAAAACTAGTCGTCGATGTCACTCACCTGTTCTTCTCCCCGTCAATCCAATCAATCAAACCTTGATTGCAAAAATATGTGAAAAGTTGAAAGAATAACACTCACCTTTCTCACCGACTGGGAATGAAGTTGCTGAAGTCGCGGAGGACTGACAGGAAATTCGTCGACGGATTGCCGGAACACTATCCGGAAAAGACACGAAAACGCCTGGAGACCTCAACGAGTGCCGGCGATTTTCACTGGAGAGAGACCAGGAAGAGGCTGATGAGAGAGATGCTGTGTATGATGATCGAACAGTGGAAGCGGGAGAGAAAATGCCGGCCATTGTTTTTGGTGCAACCAAACTACGGGAAAAATACTGTGAGTGCTTCAAGAGGTTGAGTTTATATACTAGCAACCCAAAGAAAATACTATGCCTTGTTCGCTAATCATCTTTGTAACAATTTTTTTTTCTCAAAATTTTAAAAAAATCTAAAATCTATGTTTAGTATTTTCGTTCTCAATTTTTTTTTAAAAAATAATAATTAAAAATTATGAAAACACAGAAACACACAGATTCTATTTACTGGGCATTTATTGTACCAATATAATTATTTTTTTTTTTTGTATTCTTTTTCCCTCACCTCTATCTCTCTTTGACCTCTTTCTCTTGTGCCGACACCATGGATGTGTTTTCAACCCATAGATCCAATGATTAAAAGCACAAATCCAACGATTAGAAACACAAATCCTTTGATGATGGTTGTGGGTGTTGGGTGGTGATTCTTGGTTTAGTTGATGGTGGTGGTTGTGGGTGTTGGGTGGTGGTCTTGGTGGTGGGTGTTGGGTGGTTCTCAGTGTGGGTTGGTGGTGGTTATGGGTGGTGGTTGTGGTTGTTGAGTGGTTCTCCATTTAATTGGTGGTCTTAGAGGTGGGTTTTGATGGTTCTCGGTTTGGGTTGATGGTGGTTGTGGATTGGTGGTAGTTGTGGGTGTTGGGTTGATGGTGGTTCTCGGTTGTGGGTGTTAGGTGATACACAGTGAGAGAGAGAAAAAAAAGAGTTGAAGAGATATGGGAATTGTGATTATTGTCCAAAATTTTTTTATAATTTTTGTTCTTTAAAACTATTTTCAAAAATATATAAACAAACAGGTTTTGTAATCTAAAAATTTTTAAAAACACTTTCTTAAAACTCTTTTCAAAAATAGTTTTTGGATATTATTTTTTGAGATGCAAATCAAACAGGCCCCTAATAATCCATAGTTTCTTTATTTCAGCTATATTTTCTATTTTAAAGTGTTAATTTTTAAAAATTTATGAGATTATTTAAGATTATTTATTTTTATTAAAGATAATTTATTTATTTTTTTTAAATATTATTTAAAATAGAGACCGCTATTAAAAATATTTTTACCTTGATAGTCATGACACTTAAACCGTACAATTACATTTAACATCTCTAATATTGACGACAAACTGTATAAAAATACATTGAATGCTAATAGGCATAAAATTGAATCCTAGCACCTTTTTTGTGGATTTAAAATTATTAGTTAATTGACTTTTTTCGTTTGATCTAATATATACTTTTTTTTAATCTAATATATACTAGCAGTCATTCCGTGCAATATACATAATTTATAATTTTTCTTTGTTATCATCTATCCCAACCCTATCTAACCCTAATACTATAGGACAATTATTCATTGATGTGTTAAAATAATATATTTAAAAAATTTGTAATAATTATTAAAAAGGATTGAAAATTCAAAAGTGAAGAAGTTTAAAAATGGGGTGGGAGTAGCTAAAGACACATGGAATAATATGATTGAAAAAAATTAATTAAATGTTTCAAAACTATAGCAATTAAACATTTGGGAAGGAAAGTCTTGTTAAAGTCACTTCCTTTTAATTTGTTTGTTTCATATATATATATATATATATATATATATATATATATAGCAGTAACCATGTTAAAAAATTGAATATTACCTAGAACATGAAGACTTATAAAATTCAAAGCCTAAACTTTATCATTAACATGGGCATTTTGCATATATGTTTAAAAAAGTATTATCTATTTAAAGATTCTCATGAAGATAAATTGAGGAAGAGACAGAGAAAACATAACATTAATAATCAAAAGCTCATAAATTTAAAATAAAAAACCATAAAATGCATATATATGAAATTATATACATAACTAGAACTCAAAATATTTAATCAAAAGTCAACTTAGAGGGTTTTGTAAATCAATCAATTTATTAGATAAATAGATAGATTCATAAGAAAATGAATAATTGGCAACATTCACTACACATGAGATAGTCTTGAAAATTACTTTTGGTACTTAATCATCCACCCACCCAGTTTTGTGTTTAGTAAGTTCTCTAGAGCCCTAAGAACGACCTTTGATGGTTTTGTGTATTGGGCTAATTGGAAATTATGTTTGATCATTGTGCTCTTTATGCTATGTACAGATTCTTTATAAAATTCATACTACCACTACTTATCTGTTATTTTGAAATAAGAGTTGATGTGATTTGACAAAAAAAGTAAAAAAAATAGGAGAAATTTGAAGGCCGGTCCCCTTATATGGACTTGTTTGGACTTAAGTCCATCAATGAAACTTATTTGCTATGAAGTTCGTTTTTTATCAATTTTACCATACTATTCATTCCCTTTAGAAGTGAAATAAAATTAAAAATTAAAAACTCCTAAATTTTAGGATTTTGACTAACATTAAAATCTTTTATCTCTCATATTTATTCATATTCATATATAGGTTAAAAGTTTGATTAACATTGAAATTTTTTCTCTTTCTTATATATATATATATACTAGTCATAACCCGTGCCTGAAAGCACGATAAAATATAAAATTCGAGTGCCAAAAAAATCGATTCAACTATATTAAATTTTTTCAACATGTATATACAAATTAATCAAATATTAAATGATTAACTACAAATTAATCAAATATTAAATGATTAAACATATGATATAAATGAATGATGTGATGTTTTTAAGAGAAAAATATATAAATGATTAAACATGTGATATAAATGAGTGATATGATGTTTTTAGGAAAAAAAATATGTAGGAGATAAAAATTCAAATTGCTATGTGTTTTATTATATATATATATATATATATATATATATATATACACTAAAAATAAAAATTAATAACATTTAAATACAAAAAAAAGTTATCATTTGAACACAAAAAATAATACATTTAAACACAACAAAATAGTAACATTTAAACATAAAAAAAATTGAAACATTCAATATTAATTTTTTTAAAAAAATAACAACAGTAACATGTTCAACAAAAATATTAACATGTTCAACAAAAATAGTAACATGCTTAACAAAAACTATAACACACTTAGCAATAATTATTTTTCTTAAATTCAAACGCAAAAAAAAAAACCATTCAAATACAAAAAGTAGTAATACTCAAAAAAAAACTAGTAACATTGAATATTAATATTTAGAAAAATAATAATAATAACATACTCAACAAAAACGGTAACATGATCAACAATAATAGTACATGAACAGTAACATACTCAATAAAAACAGTAACATGAACAGTAATATAATAAAAAAATAGTAATACGAGTTTGAATTTTTCTATTCAAATTCATAGTAACTTTTTTTTTATATTTGAAAGTTACTATATATATATATATATATATATATATATATATATATATATATACCTAACCTATATATGGATATAGATAAATAAGAGAGAGGAAAAATTTTAACGTTAGTCAAACTCTTAATCTACATATGGATATAGATAGATATGAGAGAGAAAAGATTAACTTCTTTTCAAGAAATGAGTATTTTTTAGATTAAAAAAAAGTGGACTTAAGTCATTACATATAATTTTAAACATAATCTTAGTCCCTTATAAGTTTTCTTATAAGACTTACCTCTAAACAAATACTCACTTCCAATTTTCACAAAAAAAAAATTGATACGGGGATCTAGTCCGCCAAACCTAACTCTATAGCAGCCCCAAAACCCAAGATGAGTTAAACCAATGCCTACAGGTTTTGGGGTGCCCGAACTATAGTTATATGTGGCAATCAAATGGGCCTAAGAAGAAGAACAACTCCCCCGATCTAACGTCCAATAGTTATGATCTCAGTTTAATTACGGTGTTTGTAAATTGGTCCATGCACTCCTCCCTGTTTGGGAAAAAAAAAGGGCCTTAGGGAGGTCGGTTTTTTTTTATAGATTTATTTGAATTTAAGTACACTTAAAATTTTTTTTTGAGGATAAGTCCATTTTGATATACATTGTCCAACATACCCTCAATAGTTATATTTAATCAAAACTTGTTTGAAAAAAACTAAGAACTTCTAAATTGGAAATTGTATTAGTATTAACAACTCATATCTTAGAAATTGTACTAGCATTAAAATTATGTTCCTATATAAACACGCTCAACATAAAAATAATAACATCAAGTAGTAACATTTTCAACAAAAATGAGTTAGAGCATTTAATTTTGCATTGGATTGGATGAGATTAAGTTTGAAATCTAATCCAACCTAATCCAGCCATGAGACCTAAACACACCCTCACAGGATTGTGCCAATCTCTCGATTATAAAAATGGGGTTCAACAACTCTCCAATTTCAAATGAATTAAAAGGTCATTCAATTCTTTCTTTTTTTTTTTGATCAAAAAAAAAATTTCTTTTTTTGAGTGTTCAAGATCCATACGAATCACCAAATTCATTTAATTAAAAAAAAATATCTTGAATTTATGAAATTCAAAATTAATTTTTCTCCTGACGCATAGAATTCTAACAATCAAAAGAGAATTGGAGGATCCCCAATTCGTGTGAGATTGGAGGGGAACCTCACCCAAAAGAAAAAAAATAACACTTGCTTCACCATTTTTTTTAAGTGTCTTATTCTCAATTCTTTTATACCATTAATAAAGAGAAATAAGGGGTATTAATATGATCTCCTTTCCTTTTGGTAAAGCATACACAAAATAATATTATCTCTGATAATGGTCAGTGTAAGTCTGGGTTCTTGTGGGCCTAAGCCTACATATTGCAACCCAAGAAGTCCATTCGGGGAACTCCCCATTTGGGTGCGAACTGGGATACACCACGGAGACAGAACGTGACTAAGGGAATCGAGTTGAATGGGCTCGGCACATAAGGGACACGTGTCCAAAGGACAAGAGAATACAATCAGACGGCTCTGATTAACAGCAATCCACATATAGCGGAGACGAATCAAAGACAATAATCTATAAATAGTAGAATCAAAAATGTTTGGGACCATAGCGCTAAGGTGGAAATGGTTGTA